TTTTTAGCCAGGATTTCTTGTTCTTGTACTCCATTGGCTCAGATTTTCTGCCTTTTTTCCCCTAGTTCTTCTGTATAATTATCAATTGTCAATATATATTTGTTAAAACAGAGAAGGCTTTTGTTTACTTTTAAGTAGTTTTTATGAGAACTTTATTATTTCGTGCTTCCACTAGATGGCAGGAATAACCACATAATGCAGTGGTGAAGGGGAGGGAGTGAAAACCCAAAAGGAATCTGGGGAAGAAGAAAGGTAGAGGAATGAAGTGAGATTGTCAGGCCCCAAGGGAAGTTGAGTTTTTAATATAAATATGAAGTAAGACCAGCTGTAGACTCCTTGGTGTATGTTTTATGTTCATATGAAATAAAGTAGAACAGTAGGGAAAGAGGATTTTATCAAGGGCTTGCTTCCTTTTAGGAAGTTCTTTTTTTTTTTTGGTAGTTGGCCAGAAAGAAAAGTTAACTTATTAAAACTTCAGTGTTTTTATGCCAGGTAGCCATTTTGTTCATTCTGAATTTTGCTTCTGTTTTGCTTTCTTAAGTACTATATAAATTTGTAGTTAATCTTAGTGGTCTTGCTTTTCTTTATAGAAAATCAGTAAATATCTATTTTTAGATTCAGTGTATCCTAATTTTTATGGTTACTATTTAATATTACTATTTCTTATATACAAAGATATAGTAAATCAAGTAGTAGGTTAGTTTTATTAAATGTTCCTTTAAAGACTATCTTAAAATTTAACATCCTAACTGGGTTACTTTTTTCTTATTGCCTTTCTTTATATCAGTGGTCATTTTAATTTTTTTAACCTTTTTCATTTCCTAATTCTTAACTCCACTTGAAAAATATATAATGATGAAAATAACTGCCATAGTTTAGGTCAGGTAATCTGCAGCTTTACAAAGGTAATCATATTAGTCTGCTTGGGCTGCTAAAAAAAATACCATACACTGGGTGGCTTAAAAAACAGAAAATTTTTTTTTTTTTTCCCAGTTCTGGTGGCTGAAAGTCCAAGATCTCATTTTCTGATGAGGACTCTTACTGCCTTCTTGCTATGTACTCACCTGGCTTTTCCTTCATGTCTGTGCATGGGAGGGAGGGAGGGAGAGAGAGGAGGGAAGGTGTCAGCTTTGTAGGGTCTCTTTTTTTTTTTTTTTAAAGATTTATTTATTTGACAGAGACACAGCGAGAGCGGGAACACAAGCAGGGGGAGTGGGAGAGGGAGTAGCAGGCCTCCCGCCAAGCAGGGAGCCCGATGCAGGGCTTGATCCCAGGATCCTGGGACCATGACCTGAGCCGAAGGCAGACGCTTAACCAACTGAGCCACCCAGGCGCCCCTTTAGGGTCTATTATAAGGATAGTGTCCTATGGGACTAGAACCCCAACCTTACGACATGCCTCATTTAACCTAAATTTCTTCCTCAGAGGCCCAAATACAGCTTCATTAGGGGTTAGGACTTTAACATGTGAATTTGGTAGTGATCGGGGGGAGTAGTGGGGGGCAAACATTCAGTTTATTATGGTAATATTCCCTTGTTGTAGACGAAGAAATTGAGATCAGTTAACTTATTTATCCAGAGTAAAGAGCTAGTAAGTGGCAGAATCAGGATCTGATCTGTTCTCTAACTCTGGATCCTCTGCTCTTTCCCATCAAAACCCTGGTTAGCCTTCTGTGCCCTTTCTCAGTATATTTACTCCTGGACACAGCCACGCTTGAGGCCTTATTTTACTTGGAACTGATCCATTGAGAAAAGGTCCAAGCTAGGGCTTTCCTTCTGACCATAACCAATTTTTCTTCTACCTCTTCACCCCCTTACTTGTATTTAGCCAGGTTTTTATTTTTTTTT